AACGATATTAGATAGATGAGCATGCGCGATGTTCATTTCTTGTGATAATACATCCAGGTGTACAATATTCTTTCAGATCTCTACTCCATACCTGTCCACAACAATCACTACTGGTAATCCAGATTCCCATACATCACCCTTTTTAAGATCCATTTTTGCTCAAATAACAATCATCATCCAGCTGAAGAGCTCTAGGATCAAGCGGGATTGTTCCAACCGTTAAAAACCCAGAAGATCCAGTGGAACTGTTGACTTTGACAGGCAAAGACCCTACAGTAACAACATCAATTGGTTCAGTGTTTGCTTTACTATCTGTATCAGGGACTGAACACAAGGAATCAGACTCCTTCGGATTAATTTTTAGTGAACTAATCTTTAATTCGACATCAATGCTCGGTTTGCCATCTGCTGAAACTGCATGCATTGAAACCTCTTCGTTGGAATAAGTCACGTTCTTGTTGGAGCTGCTTGAATCATCATGCAAGACGACTTTCCTATCTTCATTAGCAGAAGGATCAAGAATAGGATTAAGATTGCGGAGAGGATCCATTAGAGGCACAAGGTATGGGTTCTCGTACTTCTTAACTAGCAACCTTGCTTTTTCTTCCTGCAGGATCTTCTGTCTATTTTCATAGTACATAAAGTCATCCAGTAAGGATGTCTTCGATATATAGTTCTTGAATATTTTCAGCATCTCAATGCCTTTCTTATAGTGTATCTGAAGAAGAAAATGTCAATTATCAGTTACAGAAGCTAATTAAATTTACATGATATCAAACGGTAACCTCATAACTTAATTAATCATCTCTTCCATCATATTGAGTCAAAATACTAATTTGTTGGGGGGTTTTCCATTTTGATTTTCTTTATATTATTTGTTTTTATCTATTTGAAGGCGACAGAAAATGAGTCTAGTAACATATTAAACCTGTCTTCAACAAAAAAATAAAAATAAAAATAAAAATAAAAGTGAAAAATAAAATAAAATCACCACACTAAACTTCGGAGACCCCATTTGCCAAGAAATTTTTTAATGGGAATTCGAACCCCAAAGAATGGGGAAATGAGCACAACTTCCCCTGTCGATAATGAGCAAGTTATTGCTGCTAAAGAAAATGTGGAGCATACCTCTTGTGTGTCTCTACTGTTAGTCACTGGCTTATTCTCATTGTTTTCTAGTATGACGTGTCTAAAATTGGGGTTTGGGACATCCTTTATGATGTGCCACTTGACAGGAAAGCTACCACTCCACTTGTCTTGCTGCCAGAAATCCATATCTTTATGAAAATCTACAGGACCAGTCATTTCAGCAACACCACAGAACTGGCCACTGGCATTGACCTTCAGTAAGAAAAAGATAAAGAGGCACCAATCAGTAACTCTGAATGAACGTCAAAAATCTGAAAAGTGTTAATTGAGCCGTGAATAATCTCAGACAATAATGTGCAACTAATATATTAAATCATAGAATGTAACTCACAGAGAAGAAGAGAAAAATGTTGCAGCCTCTTGAATCTGCAGCAGCTATTCTCTGAGCATCTTCATATGCGCTGTTTAGCTTCCGGTTTCCGTTAGGTGTAGATGACCAAACATTGTATTTTATACTCTTGTGCACGTCATCCTCACTATATGATTTGATTACAAAAAACTTAGCGTTCGTATAATCAACCGGAAAATCACCCTTGTTATATTGATCTGTATAGATAGTAATGTTTCCTTGTGCATCAAAATCTCCCACGCTCGTCGTGTAGGCTTTAACCACCAATTGGTTTTTCAATTTGTGAGTTCTAGGTCCTCGATTTTGTTCGGTCAACGCATCAGCACTCACTTTTATATCGTCCTGAGCTCTTCCATAGAGTACCTTGGGCTTAACTTTATCTAATGGAGCCTGGGCATAATTGCTTGGTCCGAAACCAGAGACGCCATTGCCAGAAGGGAGAGTATTTTTTAAGTGGCTTTGACTAGATAAAGCCTTCCCGTTCGAAATATTTTCCATAACCACAGCTTTTTTACCCTAAAACACAGAAAATTGCAATCAAACAAAAGCATGGTCATTAGCTTCAATATACTGGAAAAACACAGCTCAGAATCATGTTATGGATCCTAGCCTATGTTTTCGCTCATGTTCATAATCCATTTATAAACAATCAAGCCCCTTTTTCATTCCAAGGAACCCACAAGTACTACCCATTTATCTACAACACATTTCTATTTGTTTGTAATTCAAACCTTTTATAAACACCTTCCAGACATGCTTCTAGATAACTAAAAATTCACGATTAGTTTATGTGAACCATTTAATCGTATATTCACTTCTGTTACCTCAAAGAGTCTCACCTGTGGAATTTTTGATGATGCTGAACTGGGATAACTTCTAGAAGTAACACTTCCTTGAGTCATAGGCTGCTTGCTAGATCCTGGATTTGCCTTAGGTTCTTCTGATAACTGGATAATGGAATTAATCGGGCTAGAAGCAGTCCCTAATGGAGTAGGAGAAAATTGAGGAGATTTTGAAAATAGATTATGCTTAAGAGCAGGAGCATCAGTTCGATTAGCAGATGAATCATTATGAACAAATGGATCTGTTGTACTATTTGCAATCATGGGAATGTAAACAGGTGAAGGAACAGGATTCTCATAAGACGGTAAGGAATAATACTGTTGTGCCCCCACAAATGATCCATCAACTCCCATCATTGCACCAGGAATGTAAGGGTTGTATGGGTTATATGACGATTGAGCATATCCATAGCCAGGTATATAGTATACATATGGAAGACTTTCATTTGGTGCACCCTGAAAGAGAAGACGCGTGACTTCAGTAACTTCAAGTGGTGCAGATCTTTAATTCAGTAGAAAGAGACTCACCGTGTACGGGATTTCTTGACCATCCAGACCAAAAATTCTATGGGGGTCATCCCAGTCACCAGATGATTCAAATGCTACCAAAATGAGAGAATATTTCATCAGCCTCTCCACAGGCTGTATATTTAGCTCAAATCCATAAAGTTAAACATAAAGGTCATTCTATTCACCTGAACAAACATATCCATAGTTGGTGGCAGTGGGATAATACAAGCCCTGATTGACAACACATTCTGGGACTCCTTCGTTGTACATGGTTTCAAATTGTTCAAGGAGTGGACTGGTGATCTGTGAATTTGATTCAGCACCTTGCATCTGAGGAACCAATTTTTTTTTTATTATATTAATAACCATTCATTCAAACATGAAAAACATGAAGAAAAAAGAGGCAGAAGAACTGTCGAGCAGCTATCTGCATAACCCCACGCCCTCTATCTAGGAAAAGATAAAACAATACTAGGAGTAATGTCTTGATTAACTATCAAGCAATCACATAGAAATTACCAGATATGAATCTGCATGTCCTTGTTCAGGAACATTATATACTTCCATCCCAGGACTGCCACTCCTGGAGAAGATATACCATATAAAAAGAATGTATGCAGGATGAATGGATAAAATGGGAATCCAAACAGAAAGAATCCCAATCAGAAAGTTATTATATTCATCAAGAAAATTATTAAACCTTTTGATGATACAGAGGAGCAAACAACAAATCTACCAACCAGAATGTATGATGCTCTCAAAACTTCTCAGACACTTGGAAATGAACATCAGGAATCAGACACTATTTTCACAAGTCCAGCAATGTCACGGTGTTCATTTCCACCAATCCCATTCAAAAAAACCAAGAAACTAATACCCTTTCTGGTTAACATATTGTACAGTAATTTATTAAAGAAAAAACCATAAATCTACATCCATAATCTTAAGTTATACCTCCATTCAATAATTTTAAAAACACCCCCGTTCATTGTACGGTAATTTATTAAAGAAAAAACCATAAATCTACATCTATAATCTTAAGTTATACTCTGTTATAGCCATTTCTGTACATCCATCGTACTGTACGGATAGAGCTCTGTACATTCAAAAAATCTCAATCAATAATGTTAAAAACACTCTAGTTCTTAGAGAGTACAAAACCCCCAAATAAAAACATCAATAAAAATTTGGAAAAACAGTAAAACAGATCAAAAAATTAAACCCTAGAAAAGCAACCAAACCCCCTTAACCCCCCCCCCCCCAACCCTCCCACGCGAGAAACAGAATAAAAAAAGTAAGTTAAATAGCCAAAGGACCAACACACTGCTCAATCAAGCACTAAAATGATCAATTCAACTACCCAAGAACCCAAAAAGGGACACCGAAATTACCTTCAAAATTCCACCTCATTTTACATTTCATATAAAAATTTCGCATTAAAAACACACAGAGTTACACGCAACATATCTGCTTGCAAATGTGCGTACAGTGTAAGCTACTAGATATATTTGCATGAATAAAAAGATGGGAAGAGAGAGAAAGAAAAAGTACCTAGAGAGAGAAACACGAGATTTAATCCATTATTGACCCGAAGAATTGAAGGAGAATCAAATGAATGAGGGTTTGTATTGAATTTTCGAATACCACAAACATAATTTTTTTCGTAAGAAAAATAAAATCGAAGTAGACGCGGTTAAGGAAACCCTAACCCCACAAAGAAAATTTATACAAGAAAACTAGAAGGAAAGAAATGGCGGTGCGCGTTATTCAATTTTCTATTGAATATATCGATTTTTTTTTTAAATATTTTATTGTGGTATGAAAGGATAAGAGATTTGGTGGCAGAAGCTGCACTGCATAACGGAAATATAAAAAAACGATTGAAAAATGGTCTAAAAATAAAATGTACTGAAATATATATTGTCTAAATTTCTTTTCGAAGAGAAATATATATAAAAAAAAAGAGCTTCGAGATTTTAAAATTAAAAGAAAAATGTGAAAATGTGGGTGGCTGAAATGCAAATGAATATTTGTGGACACACTACAAACTATAAATAATAATCGATAGATTAATTCTATTCTTTGCTCCACAGAACAAATTAAAAATATTTAAAGTACATTCTATTTTAATTATATGTAAAAATAAATAAGTGATAAGAGCCTGTTTGGGAGTGATTTTGAGAATTGATTTTTTGACCTTTAGGAGAAAAGTAGGGTCCACCTGTAAGAGAAGAAGTCAAATATGACGGTTGAAATAGTGAAATAACGGTCAAAAAATCAATTTTTTGAGTGAAAAAATCGGGCCCAAATAGGCTGTAAATATGGATTTTGTGAGTTTCATGAAATATGTAAAAAGTTATTTAACCGAAGTTAAACATATTTTAAACAGTAGATATTTCTTAGTTATTCAACGTGAATTACGTGGATGAAGAGTACATTCAACAAGATTTAGAAAGTCGCTTATTTTTTTATCAAATAACTTAACTTTTACGCACAACGAAACATGTTCCAAAAGATTGATGATCATTCTCGAATATTTGAAGAGTAAAAATTGGTTAATAAATGTTAGGGCCATTGAAATAAATGCCAAATATAGCATATACGATTCCCACATGCTCAAAAAAGTCAAAAGGACCAAATGGCATGTCACCCACATCAAATCTTCATGACAATAATAAATATCAGAAGAATTAATTAAAAATAAGAAAAGGTGATAATATAGTGGGACTTGTTTGCATCAAGGTGTAGACATTGATCCCACAATAAAAGCTGGCCAAGATGAAGAAATAAAAATTTATGTATATAAGATTATCATTATATTCTTTCTATAAATATAAAATACCAATCTTTGATGCCAATTTTTCTCTTCTTCGCCACAAGATCTGTGATTCTGTCGCCATCATTTTCTGGGTTGTCCTCTGTTAAAATTTAATACTCGAATAACCTAAAAGTAACATCACATTTGAAATGACATCTTCTCATTTACTAATAAAAGATAAAACACTGAAATGTTGAGCGTTTAGTGAGAAAACGACGAAAAGAACAAGAACATAGAAACCACAGATCTCAACTCCCCCCAAATGCTTGATTGGTTTTATGAAAAATTTGTGTGCAGAAATTACTAGAACAAAGAACAAAAATGAGTAAAAGAAGTTGAAATATATTCTGATTTTAGCTTATTTTGATTTTTGAAGAAAGCTCGAACAGAATAAATAAGACTTCACCACCATACAGAACCTCAAAGATTCTTACAAGACTGAAAGAAAGAAAGGAACAAGCATATCTTCCCCTCCACTCCCACTCCACTTGGAGGGCACAATACAAGGCAGCAGCACAACAAACTTCTCTTAGTTAAAACAGGAATGTTAAAAACAAAAAGAGAATCAGTCTCAAGTATTCCTATTAGATTAAAATATCCTCGGCTAAAAAACCGGAAAATATACCGGTACAATAAACCCATCACCAAAACCGTTGAAAGACGAATGAGGGCAATAAGATGAAATTTAGTCTGATGGACTATATAGGTTTGTCACCGGAAAAACAACCTTAAATAAGAAACACTGAATAGCACACTGACAATCGAATTGAACGCCCACCCAAATGTTTGTGCTTCCTCACATTACGAACCCATCTTCACAAGTGTTACTTTACGGTTCCGTTGCTGGATTGCTAGGGTTAGATCCAGCATCAGGGAAGCCGGTATTAACACTGGCAGCTAAAGGAACCCGCTCCAATGGCTCGGCTCCAGAGAATTCCTTGCCTTGTGTGCTCAGATATGTGGCAGATGTCCCAGATTCAGGAGCCGAAACATTAGGGACCGAAACATCCATCTGATCAAACTTAGATTTGCGTGGCGGCCTCCTCTCATATCTATCATAGCTGCGGCTGCGAGACCGACCACGGCTGCGAGAGCGACTACGGCTGCGAGACCAGCTACGGCTCCTGCTATAACTCCTATCCCTGCTGCGGCTCCTGCTTGAGCTACGGCTACGGCTTCGGCTATAACCCCATGTTCGAACTCTCTCAGGACTAGAGCTGTAACTTCTCTCTCTTTTCCTGTCTGAAATCTCTCTCCTGTTATCAAATCGTCCCCGCCCCCTGCCCCTACCACGCCCTGGCACGTCTAAATTGTGATACTGATCACGTGTACCACGTTCATTCCTGTCCCAACCAATCCGAGCACCAGAAAAGCCACCATCTCTCACCCCACCACGACCACCGAAACCACCGTCTCTCATCCCACCCCGTCCGCCGAAACCACCATCTCTCATCCCACCCCGTGCACCGAAGCCACCATCTCTCATCCCACCACGTCCACCGAAGCCACCATCTCTCCCCCCACCACGTCCACCGAAGCCATCTCTCATCCCACCACGACCACCAAAGCCACCGTCCCTCATGCCACCTCGACCACCAGAATCCCAACGCGCACCACCATCAACAGAATCAAAGCGGTTTACTCCACCTCGATCTTTGCCATAACCAGGACCACCACGTAAAGCTATTTCTCTCACCTCGGGAGGCACAGGTTGGTTGGCTCCCTCCAAGACTTTAACAAGATCAGCTGCATATTTCCAGTCTTGCTCTGAGAAGAATGTATAGGCAATACCCGTAGCACCAGCCCTCCCAGTTCTTCCAATGCGGTGAACATAGTCTTCAATCCCAGTTGGAAAGTCGTAGTTGACCACTACCCTGTGAGATCAAAGAGAAGGAATAATTCAAGACAGATATCTTCAACCAATTAAAGCAAAAGGATAGAATGCTATTATGCCACTGTATGGTAGGAATTAAAATCTAAATGTAATCTAAGTCAACAATTAATTTTAACCATGTATTTCAAGTGACCCACGACTTTTCAATAACATATTTCATCAATTTCTATCAAAATCTACTAAAAATCTGATTTTGATCCCTGCCAAACAGGAGCTATATCTTTCTCCAAATAAGAATTCATGGAAATTTAAGCAATATGAAGCAAAGATTGTCTTTTCAGAGAGGATTCGGACTGAAATGAAGCAAATAGCAAGCTTATGACCTTATGTCTCTTATGTCAAGGCCCCGAGCAGCAACATCAGTGGCAACTAGAACAGGGGACTTGCCCGTTCGGAATTGATTCAGTACCCAGTCCCTTTCACCTTGATTTTTGTCTCCATGAATTGCAGCAGCCCCAAAATTACGTCCTAGGCTACGTGCCAGCTGGTCACATAACTTTTTAGTTGAACAAAATATAATGGCTTTAGAACCACGCTCTTGGGATCTAAGAATTTGTTCCAAGCGTCTTTGCTTCTGCATTTCAGGGACTACTTCAACATACTGCATGGTAGAAATACATGCTTAGGGATCATTCAAGAAAGAACAGATGAGATGGAAAACTAAGATACAAAAGAAAAGCAGAGTTTACTAATAATTGAAAAGGTATACTTGTAAAGCAGAAGATCTAAGAACAACACTAGCGAACATGAATCCGACACATGCTTAAAGGAAAATAATGAGTTGTTCACCGCAAAGGAGGTGATGAGAAACATATTTGTGCTTGTAGTAGTAGGAGCTTCTAAAATCTAAGCTGCATAGTAATTACTATGTTAAGCTAAGTTAATTACATAGAGGACAAGAAAATGGAAAAAGGAAAGTAACCCCAACTGAAATTTAAAACCCAGTTATCAAACTTTTTTCATCAGTTGTGACCTATGATTTTAAATATTAATTTTCTTCAATCATTAATCTCTTTATTTGATCTTCATTAGAAAGACAATTATTTTCACAACTTACCTGTGTGATAGATTTATTAGCAGCAAGTTCGTCAACGCTGCCAATATTCACCTGGACTGGATTAACAAGCAGATCGCTTGCTATTTTTCTCACTTCTTTAGGCCATGTTGCTGTGTACATGAGGGTTTGCCTTCTTGGAGGTATTTCATTGACAATTTTGCGAATCTGAGGTTCGAATCCCATGTCAAGCATTCTATCAGCCTCATCGAGCACAAGAAGAGAAACCTGCCTAAAATCAATTCTCTTCATTTCGAGAATATCATTGAGCCGCCCAGGAGTTGCCACCACAAAATCCGCTCCACGATCCAGTTCTTTTAACTGAGGGCCCTTTGGAGCACCACCATACAAGCACTGAAACCAAAAAAAAATAATAATAATAAATAAAGGTTTTTTCTTCCATTCACTGGGTAAAAACTTCAATTTAGAAGGGGAAAAAAGGAATGGCGACTCACTGTGCAAGAGACTCTAGATGATCGGCCAAACTTGATTGCTTCATCTTGGATTTGGGTGGCAAGTTCCCGAGTTGGAGCCAAAACCAACACAGTTGGACCATTAAGAGGATTATTTTGCCTTCGCCTAAGATGAATGAATGCAGGGATCAGATATCCCAATGTTTTACCAGAACCTGTCTTGGCAATAGCAACTATGTCCCTGTTCTGTAGAGCAATAGGCCATGTCTGTGCCTGAATTGGAGTGGGAGCAGAGAAACCAGCAAAATGTATCTGTAACAAAATTATGTAAACAATGAGCCTCTGAAAGAGAAAAAGCTAAGAAACTTGAACCAAGTTTGGACATAATATAAAATGTAAAAACCAACCAAGAGGGAACTGTTTCGCTGTTTGAAAAGGAAAACGATAGAAGGGGGAAGAAAGATTGCTCAAAAAAAACCCATGGGTGTGCAGTTGCTTACTGAAGCAACTCGAGGCAACAAAATGGAGCATTAAAAAGAGAAGAGGCGGAGCCAATAAGCTAGAAACCCCAGTCACATATAGTATGAATTGAATGAGGGCAACCATCCTACAACAATCTGCCAGAGGAAGGCTCCAATTGTTCATGTTGCAGCCTCAAAAACTCAGTATAGTTCTTGCAAAAGTATGAGCTAGCACTGCAGTGTACGACATGTGCTCCTCTTCTGGAGCAGATATCGCACCTGCGACAAGTGAAAACTGATAAGCTAAAAGCATGAATTTTGAAAATGAAATGAATAAGTTGAGAGAAGATGGATTTTAAGCTCTTCATGGCACTTATAAACAGTTAATCACAGTTTGGGTTAAAATGCTTACCTCATGTAGTATCTCTGGTGGAAAGCCAGTGGCTTCAAACGTCATGAATGGAGCAGGAACATTGTCACCCTGGATAGGAATCAGGTTATCAGATTTCAGTAATTATTAACTTGGATAAGCATACCATTGGACTTAAGAACCTACCAAAAAAAGAGGGATTATGGCAGCAGCTAAAACAGCTTATTGCGGACTCTTGATAAACAAATACATTGATGCTAAATTTTTTTTGGCTGTGCATCAATACTAAAGGTAGAAGAAACAATCTCATGACCAAGAAATACCCTAATCGCAGAGTATGTACAAGCAGTAGTGGCATTAGCCCCTGTTTGACAACCATTACTTGGGGAAAAATGAGTTTCGAGTAGTGATTTTTAAAAGAACGTGTGGTTAAAAAGTAGGAAAAAGTTTTGATTTACGTCCAGAATATTTTATTGTGAGAATGTGTGGTTGAAAATGAATAAGTAAAAAAGGGTTTGAAAATAACGATTGTCTAACAGGGGCTTAATTGCAGTTCAATCATACGGTAAGTGACGTAATATGAGAAGAAATGAAGGACGATATATTTAACCATCGAATTTATGAGAAGAACAAGGCAGATTATTGCATTGAGTTGGGAAAGTAATACCAGAAGAGGGTGTTTATTTTTGGAAAGTAGACATAAGGGGTATTCCGATAAGCTGATGGAGACATTTAGGATGGGGTTATCTAGATCTGCAAGGTCCAAAACCACATCACATGGACACCTGTTTCTATCCTAGATAAGAAAGCAATATGTGCTTCTTCTCTTTATTATACCATGCATCTGATTATTCTAATCGTCAAAACTTGATATGCAACAACACATGTGTCGGCATTACCATAATTCAGATAGGGTACCAAAGTCAAATGTGCAAACCAAAAAGCCATTGCTAGTTCTGTGGGAAACATAAAAATAAGAAACATTCTAGAGCAGCTGGGACGAATTCAAAATTTCCAAAGGGTAAAAAGAAAAGGCAACGTAAATTACATGGGTAAAAAGAATAGGAAAAATGTTGGGTAAATCTTTATTAGTTCTGAAAAGTGGGGACTATGTTTTTTTCTAATGACCGTGATGTCCGGGCCAGTTTACTCGCACCTCATCTAATCCCACAAGACCATAAAGGTTATAGTCAGGTACTCACCTCAATAGCTCTAAGGGAACTCGAACCGGTGATCATTGGGGAGCATACCAAAAATCTGACCACTGAACTACCCTTCAGAACAACTGCAAGATCCTATTTAAAAGTGGAATACTTTCTATTTTGAAGAGTCAATCTTTAAAATTTTACTCCAATAGACTCTTCGATTTAACATTTTAAAATAGAGAGTCGGTTTGGCTCTCCTAATTTTGATAGCCAAACCTACCTCTCTATAATTTAATGCTTAAGAGGCTTCAACTTCCAATGTACAATTTATTGACTTAATTAAATAATATGTGCAAATCTCAATATCTTTTCATTGAATCATTGCAAAGCTATTGGAGCACTTTAAAATTAAATGTTAAAAACAATAAATACATATTGAGAATGCTAAAATTAAATATTAAAAATAAAGAGGCTATTGGAGAACTTTAAAACTTTTGCTCTTTAAATTGTAGAATATTCTCTTTAAAAATAGAGTCTCTTGGATGCTCTCAGGTTCTGGAAAGTAAGGAATATTACTAAAAAAATTTAAATTATGAAGGGTTTCCTTAGGAAAAAACATGGAAATTTATTTTTTTCCTTATGGACCACCACACTATTTCTCAACTCAAAAACTAGCTGCGTCCATTTAACTATCAAGAAATGTTTCAGCAGTGACAAATTTCGAGCTGTGACAACAAAAATTTAAGTGAGACTAGCTCGTTTCTTATCTTTCTCCTCCTTTTCAGAAATCTCCTCTCTTACCAGCAAGAAAGCACAATCCAGAAAATGTCCCATGCCCAAATCCAAGCCATATGATGTAAACATGGGTATTCTAGGATAAGTGGTAAATCCATGCACTTCTTTTAATATAACTGGACTCCATCCCTACCTAATTACTTTCGTATATTCAGAAGGATATTTTCATCAAGTTTCCAAAATTTCAGATCTGTGATCTCTTGAAGAACTTCATAGCAATGAGTTGCTATTGCCAGCCTTCTTTGAGATTCTGCTAATATCTTTTGCTTCAACTGATTCACAATTTTCTTAACCTAACCATCTTGCACCTGGGAATTCTAATGTAAATATATCATCAACAATAAAAATAACATAAATGGACCATGGTCGTAGAAAATTTACTCATAAATAACATATAAAGAACATGTACGTAGCAAACTTTCTAGAGATGCAAATGATGTCAAATTCTTACATTACATACTATCTCCATCCCATAAAGATAGGCTTGTTTTTATTTTCACACAGATTAAGAAAATATAATTACTATAGTTGGAAATATATAATTTTCTTACATTTTTTCCTAACACACCTATATTAAATAATGGTTTAAATAGGGCTAGTTTATATTTGTTGATAACAAGGTACATTAAATAGGGACATATTAGAAAATCAAAAAATATCTATACTTTCAATAAGGAAAGTGGCCTGTAATTTAAGACATGCAAAAAAGGAAACCAAGCCTAACTTTATGGGATGGAGGTAGTATAATTTTAAAAAGCAAAAGAAATACTAACCGTGGCTGTTACTTCATGCTGTTCACGGTAAATTTCGGCTGCTGAGAGAGGAATAGCATCTGAGGGTCCCATCATTCCAGGAGGCCTCACAAGAGAATTTCCTGGAAATGGTGGGTTGACAGTTGCATGACCATAGCTGGCATGCATTGGAGGTCCTGCTGGACTATTTGATTGCCCTGGAAGATTAATAGCAACATTTTGAGGGGGGAAATCACGCATCCTCGATTCCTGATAAAACGTAGCACCGGCATCAACAGACATCCAGTGAAATGCTTTCCATTAGAGACGTGAGAATGCAGATTTACAAGAAAACTAATCAGAAACTTGTAAATTATAAGAAAACGGTGTAGATAAATGTGTTCTCCATCTTATAATCTCTTTCCTTCTATAGTAGTCATAAATAATTCATCATGTGCACTAGAGGTAACTAAAGTGGCAACTACAAAATGATAAATGATCCAAGGAGTAACTCGCCTGCTGGGTTCTTGGCATAGGTAGTGCAGCTAGCTTGGGATGCTGAGGCATAGCACGGCCATCCTTATTAAGGTTGTAAGAATAATCATTTCCAGTTCTTCCAATAGGGTTTTCTTCGTAAGCCATCTTTGATCCTACAAGGGGCAGATTCTGCTGCTGCTGCCCATGAATGACACCGTGGCCCGTCTCATTTTGAAACCTAGAACCACCTGACTTGACAGCTAAATCTGCTCCACTCTGCTGCACATTGACAGAAGAGCGATCATACTGCATAGTTTGACTAGGCTGAATGCCAATATGTGGTGCATGAATGGAATTTGCAGGTAAGTTTTGTGCAGATAGTGTCCCAGTTTGCTGAATGTGGACTGGAGAAAACCCAGTTTGCTTCCCTTGCTGAATTTCAAGATCATATCTTGGCGGGAATCCCATTTTATGTTCTTGTTGATGGGAAAACTGTTGCCCCTGCATTAAATGTTGAGCTTGTTGCGAGGAATCTGGTGGTCCTTGGGGATGCATATTCTGCTGATACGTGTACTGATTCTGTTGAGGAGTAAGTGGGTAACCATGTGGATGACCCATTTGAGCACCTGAATACATCTGCCCTTGCGGCCCCTGTGGCATTTGATGCATACCCTGATAAGATGTTTGTTGCACTGGCTGCATAGGTACTTGCTGCGTGGACTGTGGATGTCCCTGTGGAAGTCCTTGCTGCCCTGGCAATATAGGGATTTGCCCCACTGAGGGTGGCATTTGCTGACCTGGCTGTTGCATTAGTTGTGGCCTAAATTGTTGTTGTGATAGATGGCTCTGGTGTTGCATGGAAGGTCCCAATTGCGACCCCTGCTGCAGCTCAGTATGTGCTACTTTCTGTTGAGCAGCAGGGGGTGCTACTTGTGTTTGCTGCTGTAACGATGAACTCATTTGTTGCCCTTGTAGATGTTGGATCTGTGTCATTTGTAGATTTTGCTGGCCTTGAACACCATCAGGTTGCTGTGATCTAACTACAGGTACTGGATTCATCTTGGGTGTAGAAACTGTAGGAGGTGGCGGTGGGCCTGATGGCAAGGGTGGTGGTAAAGCTTCTGGCTTCTCGTACTGAGTAACATTTGTTTCAGGATTCCAGTAGTACAAAAGATTCGTACTTCCGTCAATTAATCCTTTCCAAGGTTGCGGCAAAGTGGGGTCATCAGGTGCATATCTGGGTCCAGTGGCAGGAGTCACTGCCTCTGGAGTTTCCATGTTAATAATGATGCTACAACAATCAGTTAAAATTAGTGTACACAGAATGAATGCTCTATATGACAACTAAAAGCAACAAGTTTAACACACAACATCGAGTAGAGAGGCAAAAGAATAATCATGTAGCAGGCCTCTAAATTATTGAGAACACTTAATTTGTTGTTGTTGTTGTTGCTGCTGTTAAAATAACTTGTCTCCCCGCTTAAAAATCCAAAATAAAGGATTGATTAGAATAATAGTTAGTTAACCAGAAAATTCAAATTGATTTTAGGATACTGTACCCAAAATCACTATCCAGTTTTCTTATTTATTCTTCTTTTGGGGGGGCATAAAATTAGCCGAAGTTATATTATCAATCGCCTAGCTATTCAAGATTATTAGCTTGTGACCACAAAAGCACCGAGCTTGCTCTTCATCCCATACAGTAGAAGAACATTAAAAGAAAAGCTGCTAAAAGTTTTGAAATAAACGAATACTCTAAAAATTTAACCCATATATCCAGTCAATCCAGAACATTTCAATTGAAAAACTACGCGAAATAAATCTTTATACCAGAACTCAAACCCTAGAAAAACTAAAAATGCTCAGAATAAATAGAATCGATCGACGCAAATGAATAATTCCCTAAACAATACCACAGCTAATAATTTGCATGCAAAAATTGATTCACCGTTTTCAACTGAATTTACTACGGCGCACTTGAAACAAATAATCCAAGAAAAAAAGAAGAATTGTCTAGAGAACTTCATAAATACCACATACCTTAATTGAGAGATGCAGCGTATTACTTTTCCTTCCTTCCTCTCTAATTTAGATGATTTTATATCTGTATCTTAGAGAGAGAAGGAACGGGTGAATACGTTTTCCTGTAAGAGGGCCAGAATGAAATAGTGTAACAAGAGAGTGCATCTTGTAATTGGTTAGGGTTCTTGAGAAAAAAATTGCCTGCTTGCAAGTCCACGTGCTAAAGTATGAGGTCTGACTGCTTGTGGTTGATAAACTGGCACGACGTGATCAACGGTTGAGATTTTGCGAGATTGCCAATGTTTTTAAGGACCTGTTTGGTATTGTTTTTGAGATCCAAAGGCTATTCTTCGACCTATCTATATTTATAATTTATAATGTATTAAGTATCACATCAAGTAAGAATCAATTTGAACGATTTTAATCTTACTATAATTCAATTATTTCAATAATATCTTGTTTTTCACTTTTCAATATTTATTTAATTATTTAGTTACTACATGTACATTTAATAGATTCATTTCATTTGTGTACTTTCATTAATGTATAAATTACCAATTATTAATTCTCAATTAATTAATATTCTCATTCATTTTCATTTATAAATTTCAATACCATTAATTATAAATTAATTAAAATTTCACATTTAAGAATACATTTCATTATTTACGTTAATATATGCTAATTGACATTCACTTTTTCTTAATTAAAAATTAAATAAACGATTTAACATTTATTATCATGTATATATACTCTACCAGTAATTATAAATTAATTAACATTCACATATATTTAAATATTACTTTTATAATACTTGTCAATTATTTCACAATAACATGTGATTCACGTTTATTGACTAGTCTAACTAATTTTATTAGAGTGCTTTTAAAAAATGTTTTGTTAAAAGCAACGTGAAGAAATTTGAATCAACAAATTTCTTCACGTTATTATAGCTTTTGTCCTACCTTAAGATATGAGTTAGGCCTCGCCCTTTGATAGAGCCATTGGCAATGTAAACAAAGAAAGGCTGGGATTATCCCTTACTTCCAATAGAAGGTATCTATCTAACGTTGGCCATGTTATTTGATGAGCCGTTTTATTAAATCATGCTATGTGTACAACATTTTTTACAATGAGGTTCACAACACACACATGCAAAGGGTGGAATCCACGATTAAATTAATTACGAACCCCACATTTATGAGGAAGTTGTGAGGAAAATGCTGTACAATAAGCAATTTTCTGCTTTGTTAGATTGTCTAAACTTGAATTCACTCCCTGGTCCAAAGGGAGAGCCTTCTTGAAAATTCGTGTAGAAAAGTAGAATAGATTCCTTAAAAAAGCTTTTCAATTAACAAAAATTTAAATCAATTGTCATTGTTAATTTTGATCAAATATTTAATAAACGGTTGTGCTACTTTATTAAATGCCACAACTTCTATAAAATTCTTCGACCACACATTATGAACTTTTATTTAAATATATTAAATATCTCATTTTTACCAAAAAACGCTAAGACTTCGCTCTTATTTGATAGAAATAAAAATTCAGATTTAAATTTAATTCAAAATTAACAATTAATTTTAATCACATATTTTATGGAATCCACAATTTTTTAACCACACATTTTACCAATTTTTATTAAAATCTAATAAATATTTGATTTTAATCTCCATCGAACAAGAACCTCAATTAAACCCTTGTCTGGCCCTCATTATAAAGAGAGTTTAGGAAAAATGTATTTTAAAATATTAATTTTTTAAAATATGTGTAGTTAAAAAGTAAATTTTTTTGAATTATGTGTAATAATATTTTATTGAATAATGTGTGATAGATAAGAAGATAGTAAAAATGAATTATAATTTTAATGGTTACGCTGTGTGTACAGAAAGAGGGCTTCACAGAAGCCTTCCAGACTACACATGAGCATGTGGGGCCCAATTTTTTTGGTAATATATTTATTTTGATCCCACCTTTCATGTGAGCATCTATAGGGAAATACAACTAAACAGCCTAAATAATAGGAAGGTTTTTGAAATTAGTCTAAGAAATGAAAACATTTGAAAAAAGTCTTCAAACAACTATCCTTCCAAAAATACCCCTTATAGAGAAATTGCAACCAAAGCCACTACAAAGTATAAAAACCTTCAAATAGATCCTCAGGAAAATATAGATCATAAATCTTTGATAAATTTAAATCCAAATATAATACAAAATTTTATTGATCTAAAAAATGCAACAGAAAGTGAATTAAACTATTTAGAAGAAGATCTGAAAGGATTCTTTACAGAATATTTAGATCCAAAATTAAAAAATAAAAACGTTTTTATAGATAATAATACAATCAAAACAGAAAATGATATATATAAACTAATTTTTAATCTGAGAAGAAGAATTAAAGAACTAAATAAAATTATTAAAGAAGGAGTATTAATAAAAAATAGTGAATTTTATAAGTTTTATTGTGATATTTTAAATACTTATGAAGATTTTAATTGGCTCAAAAATATTAACCCCTCCGCTGCACACTCCGACAAGATGGTATCAGAGCCATGTTACGAACCAAAAATTATGATGAATATAGTAGATGAAGAAAATATAATTGAAGAATTTTTGAAAAAAGTCGAAAAACATAAAAAACCTAGTTATCCTTATTTACCTAAAAATACCACAAATGAAAATTTTGGGGATATACATAAAAGATTAGAGAATCTAGAACATAATCTACAAATAGGAAATGCCCTATTAGATAAAAATCTTAGAGGAAAAGATAGGATTATAATTAATCCACCCCAAGATTTTAGGATAACACAAAAAGAAAATAATAAAGGGAAAAAACATGAAGAAAAACAATACATGATTACAGATGTAGAAGAAATAGAACAAAAATTCTTAGAATCAATCCACACAACAGGAGTATGGTTAGATTTAGATTGTGTAGATAAAGATAAAGCTATTGAAACATGGGTAAAAAGTACAGATCTAGCTATACAATTTAATAAATGGGAAACATATACAGCTTTTGGATTTATAGAACATACATTCAGAGGAATTGTGTCTGAATGGTGGAGAAAATTACCAGAAACTATCAAAGGAAGTATAAAATACGGAACAAATAGAACTGAAGTATTAGATAATAGAAACACTCTAAATGAACAAAATATACAGGAAATATTAAAAAGATTTGAAAAGATCTTAAGAACAGAATTCTTAGGAAATAGGTATGCTTCTAATGAAGAAGAAAGAAAACAAGATGAATATAACCAAGGAATGATTTTAATGGAAAATTTAAAGATATGTGATATGTGTGAGTTAGAAAGATATACATGTAAATTTGAAGAATTATACTATATACTTAATCAAGGAGACTATCAGGAAAATAAACCTATTTTAAGGTCTTATTTTACCAAGTTACCATTTCCATGGGGAATCAAATTACTAAAAGAATATGAGAAATTACTACCTCTAGGAAAAGAGGAAGGAGTTGAAATAGATAGTCTTGGAAGTAGAATTGAATTTACAAGGAGAATGATAGGAATGTGGTGCAGAGAAGCACTAGAAAATAAGAAAGCTTATAAAATAAGAAAGAATTCATTATGTTGTTATAAAGATAATGGCCAAGTTGAACAATTTGGATGTCATAAGAAGAAATATAAACCATATAAGAAATAGAAAAGAAAATTCAAAAAATATAAAAAAATTCAATAAAAGGAATTTTAAACCACATAAAAAATATTTTAAGAAAAGAAATTGGAATAAGAAATTTAAACCAAGAAACATTAAAAAATGTAGATATTTTATTTGTAATGAAGAAGGACACATTGCTCCCCAATATCCTAAAAAGAAAGATAAACAAAACATAAAAACTCTTAGAATTTATGAAAAATTCCAAGAAGATAGTAATATAGAACCAATCGAATATTTTGAAAATTTAAGTAGTGAATGCAGTAGTATTTATGAATTAGATGCATCTTCATCAGAAGAAAATTATGAGGAGATAGTATATATGAACCAAGAGATACAACAATCAGAAATAGAAATAGAAACAACTGAAAAAGTTGAAGATTCTATAGAAGGTATTAATCAGGAAATAACTTTTGATATTAAAAAATATGCAGGAATCACTAAAAAGATATTAGATCTACAAGAAAAAGATGTATTCCATCAAGAATTCTTAGGAATTTTACCAAGGGTAAATAAAACAATTGTAAGTATGAATTATAAAGAAATGTCTATCAACATAGAAGATACTATAGGAAAGGCAAAAATTCCTATAATCACAAAAGAATGGGTAAAACAAAAACTATCCAAAATCCCAGAAAATGTAAGGAACAAATTAAAATGTATTGAATTAGGAGGAGTCCAAATAATGGTAAAAGGATTCTTTAGAGAAGGAATAAATATACCAATAGAAATATACTGTATGGACAATAGAATCTTACAAGATCCTATAGATGCCCTATTAGGAACAGTTGTAGGAAATTTAGTGTATCAAAAGATAATATTTACAGTAAAATCAAATTATGCCATATCATTAAGTGATGAAAATATTGATCAAAGTTTCAATCTATACTATAGAATTGGAAATTTAAAGATGTTACGAAAAAGTAAGGCTATTAGTATAAGCATAAAATCAATTTTTGCTTTTAGTACTAGCCATCATCACAATTTAAGGAAAATAACTGATAACATAATAATACATAAAGATTTTGAGGAATTAGCACAATACATACCTCCTAGGAAATATCAAGAACATGAAGTAACGATACCAGAACAAATAATGCTTGATTTCCATAAACAAGCAAAAGAAATTAATTCTGAAGGAAAATTAATAAGAAGAAATAGTGTCAGCTTAGAAGGAGATAATCTTATTGCAAGATTTCCCTCTAAACAAGACTTTAAGATAAGCAGACTTAAAAATTTAAGTATTGCTGAACCATCAAGTTCACAATATTACATTAAGACAAGATATGTAAACCAAGAAGGATTTAAGAAAAATCTTCTTGTCCTTATAGATACTGGAGCAGATAAAAGTCATGTAAATGCCAAGTTTGTTAATCATCTAATAGACTTTGAAATACCAGAACCATATATATTTAAAGATTATTTAGGAAATAATCTTGAAATAAGAAAATATATTAAATTTCCTCTTATACTTGTAG